CAACTTGATAAATTGCACTCCAAGTCCTCTAACTTTTTGGCTTGTGCACTTTGGTCTCCAACTTAACATTTTTGTACACTTTTGTCCTTTTTCTTCTCCTTTTGCTTTGTTCACCTTCTTATTGGGGTTGTTGCCTACAAAAGTAAAAATTACACAATTATGCATAGAAATGTACTCAATTTCAATTATATTTAACTCCGAAAAGTGCCTAATAAGTGTGTAAAAACACACTTATCATTAATTAACATCCAATTTTACTTAATTGAAAATTAAATAAATGATTTAATATTCATTGTCATATATATATTCTTTGATATTAATTATAAATTAATTAGTATTTATGTACATTCAAATATTACTTTATAATACTTATAAAGCATTTCATAGTTGCATGTTCAACATTGACTAGCAGCAACAAAAATTTTGAAATAGATTTTTAAAAGTAACAAACTTGTGAAAAAAATCTGATGGTCACATTTTTGTAGCCTATGGTAAAATGCAATAATCTATAATTTAATTGTAGAGCTCCTGCTTACAATGTAGTCTATCTATATCAATCTTATCAAATTTGTATATTTTAACTTTCAATCTTGTTTGGCACTGCATTCTAACGAGTCCAATTCATTAGTGTCACCAACAATTTGGCAGGTTTGTAATATGGGTTTCTTTTTTGAATAGATAAGGTTCTTTCATCTCTCAAAATCTACACAACCCCCCTCCCCCCCTCCCTATGGCATCTCTACCTTTGCTGAACCAACCAATCCATTATTTCCTCAAGAACCGTCAGCCCCACAAGCATAATATTGCCCACAATAGTTGTATGCACACCTAATATCTTCTACGTTTAGATTTCCTATAACTGTGAAGTCTTCCCACACATCCGAAGATTTTCTATTTTTTCTCTTTCCTAAACATGATGGTGGAAGTGGAGGAACATATAGCTTCAATTTCACTATCTATATCCATGTTCATATCTATACAAATCAAACATGGTCCTCGATTTTCAAGACAACAACAGTTGACTCTTAATTGATTGGAGCATACAATTGGATAGAACTTTAAATA